ATGAGCCACTGACCTGGTATGCACCGGACGTCGACGCCGGCGTCCGTAAACAGAATCGCGTCGACCGTCACGTGGCAGAGGCTATTGCCATGGGGCAGGGCCACCCCGACGGTCGTTGCACTCACTTTGCGGCCTTCTGCGGGCCGACCAGGATGGGCCTTGTTGATGAGCGCGACGTCGTAGACGTCTGTCTCGACGAGTGCATCAGCGAAGGCGCGGTCGTCGGGTGCTAGGCCCTCAACGCCCGGCGACGTAGGTGCCGTCGGACGCAGCGCAAAGACGTTGAGCGCGTGCGACGGCGCCGCGGCCAGCGACTGCAACGTGGCCGTCGCCGCGTCGATGTTTGCTTTCACTGGGTCAGTTGCGGCCACGACGTGGTAGACGAGCGTGACGCGTCGGCCATAAGTCATCGGCTCAATGAGGTAGTTGGCGTTCGGCGCAAACACGGCGCAGACGTGGGTCGTTGTCGCGTGCTGGGTGCAATACGAGCGGCCGTCGGCAAACATCACGTCGCCACCGCCATGGAACGTCGGCAGCGAGATGACGACTGTCCCGATCGTGTGCGGCGGTCGCAAGGCTGGCGTTAGGCACGCCGACGAGCCAGTCGCGTCGAACGCCACGTGGGCCAGCGCAAGTCGGAAGGGCGAGGTCGGCGACAGCACGTCCCGCACGACCGTCTCGACACGCGCCAAGGTCTTGCGCCACGCATTGGTATTGTCGACGCGCACGCTCATCGCTGGCAAAAGCACGACACCCGGCGAGAGCGTGTACGCGACTGCAAGTTGGTCGACCTCGTGCACTGCAAGCGGCCACGCCAGAGCCTTGCGCAAGGTGTCGACGTAAAGCCGCGGCGCCACGCGATACGGGAGCTCGAACGTATCAACCGCCGTAGTCAGGCGCAATGTCTTCAGCTGGGTGGCGACGGCTTCGTACGCGGCCTTGGCATCGCTAGGTGGCATCGTCGTTCTGCCGGTTGTGGCACAGAATCAGCACCTTGTTGGGTCAAGTGTTTTAAACACGTATCCAACAGGGTTCCATACCTGTTTCAAACCGTTTTTCACAGAAAGGCGAATCACAAGTCGACGCGAAGAGGGATAGCATGGCGCAGGCGGGCCGCGACGCCGCACCGTTTGAGAAGCGTCGCTGCGTCCAGTCGATAGACGCGCCGCGTTTTGATGTCGACGACATTAATACTTGCCCAGAGCCGGAGGCTCGCGAGGCCCGTCATGACGGCCGACGCCTTATCAATGTAGTAGACACCATCACGCTTCACCGCGGCCTTGGCGTAGTGGTGGTTGGCCGCAGCGTTGAGCCAGTGCGTTTATAAGTACCGGTGTCGACCGACTCGCGCACCGAGATAGCACAAAGCGAGGCGACTTAGCACCATAGCGACAAGACTCCAAAAGCGCGTGACGCTGCCGATCGCTACGACCGGTGTGGCACACGAGCTGGCTGTCGACAGCGATGACGTCGCCCTGCCGATGGACTTTGGCTTGAAACAAGACGCGAGAGGTAGCTCCAGACGACCATGCTGAGCCACGCCAGGGTACTACTCGCAGTGGCATAGGGGGCGAGTACTGGCGCGTGAGCACCGACAAGACTTCGTTAAGGACAAAGACAAGCGGCGTGATTTCGCCTGCCGCAGAGATCGCCGTGGTCCACGCTTTGGAGTAGCGCCGTCTTGTTGACGTTGCGAAGGAGGACGCCAGGTACACGGCGCCATTAGCGCCGTGGCGAGTCCGACAGCGCTCAGCGCGTGTCGTCGTAAAGGCCATCGAGTAGCGTTGCTCAAAGTCAAGCCAGCTAAACTTGGCGATGAGCTCCATCGCGCGGTCCATCGAGATACCCCGCAAGGTGCGCACGGCCAGCTGCAACGGCGTCTTGGCCAGTAGTAGTTGTCGCCCAAATGTCGATGAACGTTGTCGGGCTACCATATGTATTTTCGTAGCTCGTGACAAACGGCATCGAGGCGAGGTGACCGACGCGTTGTAGCGCGCGGCTTGCCCGATAACGTCACCGCCGAGCGTTTGCTCTCGCCGCCCACCAGAAATCGTTGCTCGCCGCCGGGGCTAGAAGCACTGCACTCTATACGATCGTCCAGACAAGGTAAGCGCCGCAACAGAGACGGTGATAGCTTTGTGCGGGTCATTGCGTGTGCGCGACAACAGGGTCGTCTTGGAGTTCCGGGAGAATATCACTTCGTCACTGGTGTCATTTGCGATTGAGTGTCCACTGTATTTAAAACCAAACGACTCAACCAACCGAGCAATC